TACCCTACCGGAACTGATTTTGTGTTTGTAAATTTGTCAGCCCTGTTTGAAAATATTAGATCAAGGCATGTTTTAGTTGTGTTGACTATTCTAGTCGCTTGTTTAACCAGTTGTTGTAAGTCTAGTGAGGAAGATTCCATCTGGAGCCTTTCGCGCAGGGGGCAATTGTTGTCTTTCCAATTGACATTAAAGTCGCCTTAAACCAACACTTCTTGACCATTGTGGGTAGCCTTGTCCAACAGATGTATGATCTTTTGCAGATATTCTATTTTTGCGCTAGGTGGTCTGTACATGCACCCTACCAAAATAGGCTTACTGTACGGAAGGTGTAACTCTACCCATATCGCCTCAATTTCCGTGATTTCTAGATCTGGTTTAAGTTTGTAAGGAATATGGTCTTTTATGTACAAGCCTACACCTCCACCCTTATCATTACGGTCCTTTCTTACGAAGACATAATCTGGGATACTCATCATATCATTACACATACCATCATCAAGGTGGGTTTCTGACACCGCTAAAATATGCATATTGTTTTTACATAGTTAGTCCGTTACTTCATGTACTTTGTTTCTAAGGCTGTTGATATTCACATGTCCGATGTGCAGTCCTTTATTAGAAAGTCCTAAGTCTATTGGTCCTGGGTTTGAGTGGACATCTAGGGATAGCAGCAGGACGAGTGTGGCCAGTAATGAATACATGTCGGTTGAAGTCTGGTTCCTTGTTCTGCGTGTCCCGGGATCACCATACAGTGTGATGTTGTTGACAGCAAAAATTCCCGACAAGCCTAGCGCAATGGGATGCTCCGGTGCGGTTTGCCAGCTGCACGTAATCAGGGCCAATTTGTTCTTAGCGTCCGGAAATTGTTGTCCATTACATGTCTTTGGAAGCAGCGCTATCACTACAACTGCTGCCAACAGAGAGTAACAGCTAGCAAATTCTAACATTGTTTTTACTAATGCCATACTGATGTCAGGTATAAGTACATAACATAAGTTGTAATGCCAGAAATTTGCATAACATAAGCCGCCGAGGAAGTCCTGGCGGTATGACTTGATTAACTAGCACTTTTGGCGCCAAATCGCCCAGTATTGTCAACTATTGTATACAAACTATAAGGCTATCTTGCGTTTACACAATTCTTTCGATAAGTCACAGACTGGTTTGTTTACATCATATTCTATTACATACATCAACGCATCATACTAAATCACCGTACAGCTAAAATAGCGAGTGGAGCTGTAGTCCTAATTACATGTAGATATAACGCTAGCGCTGTAAGACACCTTCCTGGCCGCTTGCGCGCCGCGACAAATCAATCAGGCTTATTTTGCCTTGATTATAAAATTTGTGATGAAACTTAGTCTATGTCGTAAACAGTATGCTTGGGCCAACTCAGAAAACGTAAAATAAAGTCGAAACCAAACAGAATACTTGCGCAGGGAGCAAAATTGTAGGAGCACAGCAAAAGGTGTCTCAACGCCGCGGATGACCTCTGACCTCTCTGACTCAAGTACATTAACTGAAGTAACTCAAGTACATTAACTGCAGAGGTACATCAGCATAATATGATATACTATAGTATAATATAATATTATATTATATCATATTATATATAATATGATATAATATAATATAATACCATTAGATAATCGAAACATAGAACCAGAGACTAACATTGCAATGAAGAAATAATGAAGATAACGAAAAATGTACATTAATGTTTTCTGATTAAAAAATGTACAATGTTTTCTGATATCAATGGCAAATGGACATGGAGAGTCATCATGTAGCAAGAAATTATTGGTTCTAAAGTACAAGTGCTTACTTATTTATGAGGCGACAGAAATTTCTGTTTTTAGTTGAGGTAGACGATAGTTCCATAGAGCAAGACTAGTACATGAGAGAGATTTGTTTCTGCACTGTAGATGCCTTGAATGAATGAATGAATGAATGAATGCATGCATGAATGAATGAATGAATGAATGAATGAATGGATGAATGAATGAATGAATGAATGAATGAATGAATGAATGAATGAATGAATGAATGAATGAATGAATGAATGAATGAATGAATCAATGAATGAATGAATGAATCAATGAATCAATGAATCAATGAATGAATCAATGAATCAATGAATCAATGAATGAATTGTTTATTTGTAGTAAAAAAACAAGAAGCATTTCACAGTCTGCTAACTGAATTACATACTCCTTTAACATACTTAAAATCACAATTCTTAATTACACTAGAAATACTCATAATTACAAACAACATTTTACAGCAATTGAAATATTGAAAAGTCCTTTGACAGCTGTAGTTCCATTTTTTTTCTCCGCCAGGCGTGAGTTGTGTTGGTGAACCTTTCATAGCTACATGTAAACAAACCTGACATTTAGAAACTGCTGAAATGAGTCCTATAGTCCAGGAGGGAGTGCTAAATCCCGACAGACATTAAAATAGGAAGCGAAAAATGTATGACTTAACAGTTTACTGGAAAATACCCAAGATGTGCAGGTCTTAAAACGCATCGAATCCAGGGCAAACTCATTAAATGACCTCTATACACTATCCCAGAATGCACCGCGCTACCCCATCGATGTCCATGTTTTGACCAAGAAAGTTATGTTACAGACTTTATTTTGGGGGTTATAAAATGTATATTGTTTTGTGTTCTTTACGAAGGGGGATCAGAAAGTTCTCGGCCTCACCTAGAAAACGTCATGGCAGAAAAATTTTTCTAACAATATGTTTCAACATAGTTCCCTCTAACTACAATTCAATTGGTCCAGTGATGTTCGAGGCTTGTTTTTCTCCTTGTGGAAGAAGCTTAAGGTTGCATCTGGAGCCCCCAGATAGGGCTCGACCCCACTGATGACGTCATCATTACCATTAAAACGTTGACCACGTAAGTGGAACTTCAGTTTAGGAAATAGGTAGAAGTCCGATGTTCAGAAAATATTGGATGCACCCACTATGCAGACAGTTTGCCCATCCCCAGGATTATGAACTGAGCCACAACACAGGCCAAAGACTCTGCTCACATCTGTCATTCAAAGTCTCACATCTGTCATTCACTACCATGTGATGGACGGCCTCAACTGGATTGTCCGTGGTGCTGATTTGTTCATCTTTTGTGCTCTCCTTGCCGGGCTTGCAACTAGCATCCCACTTCTTTATAGTTAAATAAGAAGGGAAGTCATCACTAAGTGTCTTAATCGTGTGTTTATGGATTTCTTTAGGAGACATCCCTTTTTATCGATACGCATGATCACAGCACACGCTTCTGCATGTAGCGGCCATTTTGTGATTTTGCCCTCACCCACCCCATTTTCACGGGGAGTCACGTGCTAATTAATGAGTATAAAAATTGCATTTTTGTGGGCAGTGATGTAATACATCATAGTATACAGTTATACTAAAGAATAGGAGTTTGACCTTTATTTTCTAGGTGAGGCCGACAACTTTTACCTCGTATCTTACCAACAGTTAGCCTTCCTGGTGTCCTTGAACCTTGAACGGGGCCATCTAGGATGCCGTTACGGGAAACTATGGGTTCTCATCGCCATTCATTTATGCCGAAAATGGACGATGAAAAAAACGGCATAATTAATCTACTTATCTTTACAATAAGCGGAGCAATCTAATACTACCTGTTCAATAAATATTCACATAAATGGTGAAAATCAAAACACACAGGATGTAAAACTGAAGAATAATAGAAAATATAGGTACAGTCCTTATTTGTAAAATTCATATCTGTTACGTTACCTGCCAAAGATTATGTACGTTACAAGTATCAAATTTCTATTATGTAAAAGACTTGAATTACAGAATTCCTCTATCAATCAGGCAAATTAAGTCATAATTTACGTTTAGTTGTATACATCTGTAAACTATCTGCAAAGCCTGTAAATTTATTGTTCTTTTTTGGACTTATTCACTTTGAAATATTTCCCCGGAAATTGACTGCAGTTCCAGAACCAGCTGCTGCTTAGAGGACCAAATACCCAGGGCAAAATATACAATAATCGGAAGTTTTGTTGAGCTACAAGGCCAGCCGAGAGGAGGCCCACATTTGATATTTACGTAAATTTTTCTAAGACCTACCCTCATACCAAATGTCATCACCGATCCACAAAGTACTTCTCAAGTTATATTGACAACAAACATGCTAGAACACACACACGCACACACACACACGCACACACACACACACACAGAGAGAGGGAGAGAGAGAGAGAAAGAGAGAGAGAGAGAGAGACAGACGAAGAGACAGAGAGAGACAGGCCAAAAACAATACCACACTTTTTCATACAGCCTGAGGTTAATGTCTAATGTCAACTTTTTTGACCCAGTAAGAAAATCATGAAAGTGCTGCATTTTAAATGTCCTTCTATAATACATAAGCCAGAATTCCCTTCTGTGACTTTTCTTTTACTATGGTGGTATCATTAAAACGGTGAATTTTAGCTCCGTTACTATACGCTTCTGTCAAACAAGAAATTTAGCCAGGATTGACAACACTTGGAATGATGCACAACTTGAAGTCAAAACACGAAAGTTTGATCTTTCAAAAAGGCTCTTGTGAACAATTTAATAAATTGAACCAATTGAGGACCCTTACAGGTCAAGTAATATTTAAGAAGTCCGAAAGTCTAAGCCTTTAATATTCATTTCTCGATGAATGTATACGTAATGCAAGCTAGAACGTAAGTAGTGCTTGTCGATTTTACGCTTACAATTTGTTACAGAAAAATGTTCTTTTTTTTACTTTCTTCATATTTGTGTTTTCAAAACGTTGAATTTGATACAAATCGTATGTATGATCCTCTTGAACTGCACTTGTTTTCCAAAACAATTATTGACAAACGTTGTCTGTGTCTAAATTTGTGGACCTTTTAGCAACTCAGTATTTCCCATCTTCGTACGGAATCTGATTTCAATTTTGATTGGGGCATAACAAAACCAAATCTTGGAGTAGGTGGGAAAATTCCTCACTGGCCAATTTTAGCATCAGGGACCGGTTCATAGCTGTTTGTCTCTGGGTACTCTGTGGTGTTGTTTATTGCTTCCCTACACTCATTCTGGCAGTATGTAGCTGCCGGGGACCGACCAGCACCAGTCACGGGGGAGGGACAGACGTAACTGTTTCCCAGGCTTGTGACGGGCTGACTGCGGTGGTTCCCATCATAGACGGCGGACTGAATACCCGTAGTACGCTCGCGCGTGGCAGCAGGGTCGTAGCTACAGGCCATAGGAGACACTACGGAGTTGCAGACCGTCGCAATAGTGTCATGCTGGCCATAAGTGTTAAACAGGGTACGGTCTGGGTCAGTGGCAGGGTAGTTGTAGCAGTGTGTCTTACGGGAACGCTTAGCGGCGCTGGCATTCTGCTGGTAGGCAGAGGACAGGGTGGAACCTGGCATGGGCAGGATAGATGGGTGCTGGTAGCAGGTTTTTACGGACTTATCGCCAGCGTTTTCCTTACAGCCATATGTGCCAAACAGGGTACGGTCTGGGTCAGTGACAGGGGAGTTGTAGCAACGTGCCTTACGGGAACGCTTAGCGGCGCTGGCATTCTGCTGGTAGGCAGAGGACAGGGTGGAACCTGGGTTGAGGAGGATAGATGGGTGCTGGTAGCAGGTTTTGTCTGACCTATCACCGCCGTTTTTACCATAACCATATGTCTTAGTCAGGGTACGCTCTCCGTCAGTGGCAGGGGAGTTGTAGCAACGTGCCTTGCGGGAACGTTTAGCGACGCTGGCATTCTGCTGGTAGGCAGAAGACTGAGTGGTACCCAGGTTAGGGAGAATGGATGGGTGCTGGTAGCAGGTTTTGCCTCTCTTATCGCTGCCGTTTTGACCATAGCCAGGCACGACGGCCCCTTCCCTGTTTGGTGTCTGACGGGGACGCTCGGCGCTGTACGGGCGGGACGGCACGGGGTGTGTCTGCGCGCGGGGGCGGCCTGGGTACGCTGCGCCAAGCTTGGCCTGGCCGTACGGGACGGCTTCTGACTGAGAAGAACCGGCCCTGCGCAAGTCAGGGTGGTCTTCAAAACCACCTTCAGCGTAAGGACTGATGACTGATTCTGACTCATTCAAGCTGTCGTGATCCTCGAAACGACCTTCAGCGTACGGACTGATCACCGGCTCATCCAAGTTGCCAACTGGCCACTTAGAACAAGGACCATCGCCATTGCGGGGTGAACCTGTGCCGTTATCTGGAGCTTTGCGCCTGAGCCTGCGCTTGATACACCTGACACAGAACAAAACCCCGGGACCCACCGCAACAGCCGGTAACCAGATAATAGATGACAACACTATGTTCCATGTGC